ATGCAAATTTATCCTGTATCTGACTCTGGATTCATGAGGCTTCTTACAGAACTAATGAATATGAGAAAATGACTAGAAGTGTGTAGGAATAGATTAATTATATCCATAGTTAATGCTTGCCCCAGAACCTTTAAAAAATAACCCTAGGACTATTAAAGTAAAACTATTCCCCTCCACTATTCCCCTAATCTTTGAGGAATTGCTGCTCTTTCAAGACAACTTAAAGCCCCAGTTGTTGAAGGGAATTCAGGAACACTGCTGTGTCTAATTACAACAGCTTCTCTTAAATTCACACACTATTTTTGTTACTAGCTAACTGAGATTCATTACTTGAGCAGTTCTCCAGTATTTTATGAAATTCAATATAAGTGATGAGTTTAGATATATGCTGCACCTTCCCATCAGGAAGGAAACTTGATCTCAGTTTTAGAGAGCGGGGGGAGGAGAAATGCCATTAAATGCTAAAGTTAGTTGCTATCCAACCCGAGGAGTCAGTCTCTGGAAGGAAATAAAAAAGACCTATGTATGTTTAGATCTTTAGTTTATCACTTACTCTTCATATGTAAAAGCTTAAGCTGTTGATGGTGAAACATCAACATCAGTGCCAAGTTTGAAATTTATACCTATGTAGGCCAGCAGCAATGAAAATGACTTAAATTCAGAATCAAGTATCAAAAGCTATCACTGACCCTGGCTAAAAAAGTAACCTGTGAGATGTAAAACAACTTTGAAACATTACGAATCAACAAAGGAAACTAAATATGACACAAGCCCACTAAAGGTACTTTAATATTAGAAACTGGTTTTCAACATTAATGAGCACGGCTCTGTTTGTGCAGAAGCTCCTCCATTGGAGTCACCTGCCCCAGGAGGAGTTGGACAAATGGGTTTGTGATTTCCTGAAGGGCCACCATCATCTGAGCTGTTTGGCCACAAATCTTAAATATTGCTGCCCACTTTACAGCCTAGCACCAGCCTTTCCTGGTTCCTTCAAAAATCAGAAACTTCAGAGTGAGCACCAACCTGCCTCTTGATTCCCTTTTCCACATGGCCTCTACTCCAGAAGGAGTAAAAACTTGATATACTTCCTACATGTTATTTCTATTTCTACATCTATACAAGATATGACATACATTAAATAAATACCAAACTATTAACAAAAATGCTTCCAGCAACAGCCCCCAAATTTCTGTATTCTTTGAAAGGAAGAACAACATTTCAGCTTTAAAATCTCCCAGGCTTGGCACTGTTTGTAATAAAGTTTGACTGAAGACCAGGATCTGTTTCCATTGTGCACACCCAGCAGATAAACAACTGCCCTGGGTTGTCCAGGGCTGTCAGCAGTGCTGCCACCACACTCAGCAAAAACCACCTTGGGATCTGCAGAGTCAGACTATTTCCTCTGCCTGTCTCTCACTTTTCTGTCTCTGTAGCATGCCCTTGGTTTGTTTTATTCTAGAAGCATCTTTTTACTTTAAAGAAATTGCTGACATTCTTTGAATCCTGCCTGAATTTAAATTAGGCAAGGAGAAAAACAAGACCTATTTAAAGAAAAGTGACATATACTAACAGTATGGCATAAATAATTTCAAAAATAATTGTACTTCAGCACCTTATTTTTCAAATTTTAGTACATGATAAATAGAACTGCTAAGCTTAGGTAATTCACAGCACACATCCAGATAATAGTATCTATTATTTCAGCTTCAGATGATATGAATCTTGTAGTTTCACATTTCTTTAGTGAAGTCTTTTCAGATCTCTCTCTATGCCTCTGATGGTTGATGGAGAAATCCATATGTGCAGATCCATATGGCAGTGAACTTTCCAAACCAAACACAAGAACAGCAGCTTCTAGGAGAGGGTGGCTTGCCAAGACAAACAAGTTCTGCCAACATTTTAACACCACAGAAGGTCAGTTAGGTTATAATTAATCCTAATTACCATTCTCCAGAATTGCAACATCTTTTCACTTGAAGTCACCTAATGCTCAGGAAAGGATGTATTTTTATTCTAGATTTTCCAAGAATCACATTAATCAGACAGTCTAGTATTCCCTTTAAATCTGAATCATCACTTACCATCATAAAGAAACAAGGCATGTCATCATTAAAAGGAAGTGACTTGAGTACTTTATTTAGCCACTAATACTTCATCACTCCTGCTTTTCTCTATTCCTCTGAAGTAACAGTACAGAGTTTTTTTCTCTTCTGTTCAGTACCACTACCACTCTGAGTTTTTTTCCATTATTTCACTTTTTCCCCCCTCTTTTCAGAGTTTTATAACCTTTCTGCTTCAACTCCCTACTTTTAATCCTCTATCTTCAGATCTTCCTGTCTGCTCCCTGGGCAAGCTGGGGATCTGACAGCAGTAACATTTCTCTGCCAACTGCTGCCTTGGAAGAGAACTGTGCTGGGAACCACCTGACCTCATCTCACCAAGGAAAAGAGGAGATAAAAACTGGTAAAGCAAAAACTTTTATTCTTTCCCTCTTTTCTTTTTCCCACAGGCCAAGAGAAAGTGAGAGAAGGTGAAAAAAACCAGGAGTCATTTGGCTGCTTTTTCTTCATCAGGAGCATAAACCTGGTCATGCTCAGCCTGGTTTCATTCAAACAAGCAAGGAGCTGATCTGGGCTATCAAAGTCACCCAGCACACAGGGGAAACCCTCCAGCTCCTCAGGTGCAGCAGCTGGGGGCTGCACTTTGAGGGGGCATCAGCTGCTGTTGCCTGTGGCCATGGCATCTGCATGGTGAAAAAAGCCTCTCCCAGCTAGGACAGCCTTCCAATAAAATGATAATTTGATCCCTCTGGAGACTGGAAAGCATCAAGGACCCTTTGTTTTTAGAATCAAATAACAAAGCTGGGAAACTGGAAGACCTGCTCAGCTTGTGGGGACCCCAGCAGAGGGGGCACAGGCTGGCAGTGCTGCCAGAAGAGCAGGATGCAGTGAGCAGCCCTGCCCTGCACACTGTGTGCCTGATTCCTGCCACCAATGCTCTCCTCATGACCTCCCCATGGCTGACAGCTTTGTACAGCTGTGCTCTCCTGCTGCAAACAGCCCCTCAATAAATGAAAATGCCAGTTCCAGTTATCACACGGTGCATCGAGTTCCACCTGTCCCACAGGAGATTCACATGCCATCAGGCACTTCATTCACCCACACTTCTGTCATGTAAGGCTTTTATTGTGGGTGGGGCAAATCCACAGCACTCTCTTGTTTACTTCCAATTATATTAATCTGTTGTATCTGTAAGATTTACTTATCCTCCCACAGATTATTCACACCCGTAGCCCTGCAAAAGCATGTAGACTGAAATACTTCACCCACTCAATATGCTGCAGAGCTTGCAATGGGTTTCCAGAACCTGGATTTTTGGCTCCCTTCCCCAGCTAGTATATTACTCCTTGGATTCATATAAATCCAGTTATTTCTTTTGCAGTCTTACTGGGTTGAAAAAAGGTCTTAGGTTTAAGAGCATGAAGCTGTTTTTCTATAACTAATAATGGTTCAAGATGGTCCAGGAACATTTGGGGCAAGAATGATGACAATGGCTATGTTTGCTTGGCAGATCAGCATCTGAAGACTACCCCTGTTAAGTCCACAAAAATAAAATTGTCTCTTGCTGAAATAATCCCTCACAGCCTATTGCTGTACATACAACCCATAGACTCTGTATGACAAGACCAAATGACAGAGCTGGTTTTCTATTTCAGGGTAATTTGGTACAGGTCAAGTGAAACTCTAGAATCAAATTTGTTCAAATATTAGTTCAAATATAATTTCATATTCTCCCATGTAACAAGGCAAAAATCCATACAGATAAGAGTGGAATAACAAGCAAAACCCTACAGCTTGTTCCTTTACTTTCTAAACCTGAAATGCATTATCTGGAGATCCACCATTTACCAGAGCACACATCCCAGAGAGCAGGCTGAGGGGATGGTTCAAAGCTAACTGTCAATCTATTTGCAGTTCAAAACAGTGGTGAACTGCTCCAGCTGTTTTCCAGATCAAAAATATTATTGTCATTTTGCTATCGCTGCATGCTGAGGGTTATGTAACAAAAATGCACATGTCCCTCTGCCTGGAATGCAATTAATTTCCTCCCTTCCCACTGTGAGTGGTAAGTAACAATTCAGACAGTCTGGATGCTTCAGTTTTGAGCACAGGCAGGGATGCAACCCTGGATTAATTCCATGTGGTAACCCACTATTTGTAACATGCCAGTCTTCTGGAGGTCTTACAGCCAGGGTGTATTTTGCAGTTTGGAACAAAATAAACATTATCTTCCTGTTTGTACATGACCTCTTTACTGTCTGTGGGGTACCCTGAGCGCTTTGCTGCAGTCCTTTAGTTTAACCATAGACTTTGCTTTATACTGGAATTTTAAGTCTTCTAATAATTGTGCTAACAGTGCTAACAATCTGAAATCAGCCACTATAGTTGCTGTACACTTTGGTATGCAAAAATCAGTCATTGTACACTATTAGCTTTAAAATAGTGGCAAAATCCCATCTTAATCTAGAAATACCCAAACATTCTGCAGGTGGTTAAATTCAGACTCTGCAATGCTTAACCACTCCATGGAATTTGCTTATATAAAGAGAACAACTGGAAGTCCTTTGCCCAGAACAGCACACTGAAGAAACAAAACTAATTTTCTCAATGCAATCTTTTTTTCAATGTGCCTTTCATCTCTGTAAGTCCAGCTAAGCCTGTGATATTTATATAACAACCAAAAGATCTTCAGGACAGGATCTTCAAGATATTTCTATAAAATGTTTGTACCATACTTAACTTCTCTCTGCTGTTGCTGTAATAGAAACAGAATGGGGTGATCAGCTGTCCTCCAGGGTGTCAACTGAGATGAAACATTAACTTAGTACTTAACTGCAGCCATTTCCTTTAATGTGTTATTGCTTGGTACAGTTTGCTCTGGGTTACTGCTTTCCAGCTGACTCCTGCAGGCAGCACCTGCAGTGGTTTTACTGTTCTTACCTGGTTAAATAGGCCAGAGCCCGCTCAGATCCTGATGGCTTTTTGGGCTCCACCTTTTTAATGGGGATTCCAGCTTCCCTCATCAGCTGTCTCTCCTTCTTCTTGCGCTCTTTTTTTAATTTCCTTTCCAGTTTCCTCTTTTCCTCTGGAGTAAGTTCTTCCTCTTCCTCTGCAATAAGCTCTTCTTCTTCTTTTGTAGCCTGAAATAATTAACATTTAAATTAAGTGTTTTTCTTTCTATAGGAAAGTGAACAAAATATGCATAAATGTAATTACAGGACACAGGTAATATTTAAAACCAGAAGGTTCACGTTTCATGTTTTTACTGTTCACTGTACTTCCATCACCTCTCTGCCCAACTCCCAGGACTGCAAATGCTGCACTCAGGGAGATCTGTCGAGCTGCCCTCTAGAGATGTTGATACTGCTCTGAGAACTGCAGGAACCTGAGCACCTTCCACTTGTGTATTAAAAATAATTTCTAACACTTCTTGTGCTGTTTGTTCCCCCACACCCAAACCTGAGGAGGGCATGTGAACAGCAGAGGCTGTCTCACAGCAGATGGATTTTTCAGCACACACGCATTTCAGTGGGAGCAGCAGGGTTTCCTGAAGGTCCTCAGTTTGTGTTTGTAGTGTAATCACACACTTCCCTGGACTGAGAAAACCTCTGTCTGCCATGCAGAGGCTTCATCTCGACTTTGCCAAGGGCAAAGATGTGACAACTTCCTCCTTCATCCTCTTGGAGACCTCTTGGAGATCCTTTAGCAATCTTGAGGAAACATTTGCACAATCTTCAATATACACAGATACATATCTCACAAAGGTTGACATTCCTTTAGGTTTGCAGACAGAACAGTTAATTATTCACATCTAAAACCATATTACCATAAACATATGCATCAGTAGATCCCAAATGAAAAGAAGTATTTCACATACAGATGAAGAGCTTTAAACAGTTTATCTAACTATAAACACTGTGTTTGTCCTGGAAAATCCAATGTGAGATTATGTTGTGTATAAATAAAATGCTATTCTATAGCAAGATGAGATTCATTCCAGGCATTCCCAGATGTCTGAGGGAGGTACTTGCCAGGTATGGTCCTCTGCTAGAGCCTGGGACACCCATGGAGGCCAAGTGGGTGAGAAAGAAATGCTCTTCCTCCTCTCCCTGCTCCTCCTCCTCTCCCTGCTCCCCCTCATCTGTTCAAGGAATCTGTAACTGGAACCTGAATGCCCAAGATCAACTGCTTTATGGCAAGATTGGTTAAAACCACTTTATAAGTTCACAAATCCTCGGTGTTACATTAATTTGTGTCAGTCCAAGGCTTTCAAACACAAATCCAGACACAGAGCTAAATAAGGTTATTCTTGCTGACATTCAACCAAAGAATGTTAAACAAGGCAATACCTGAACACAATCTTATTTGCCCAGGACACCTGTTGGGGTTTAAACATTTGTTCAGTGTCAATTCACCTATCATCTAAGCTGACTCTGACTCATCTTTTCAACTTGGTGTTTTCACAGACCAAAGAAAGGTTAAGAAAGCAGAAATCAGAACTAATGGAAGTAGGACACTAAAGTGGAGTTGCTTTTTCTTGTTTAAAATGCTTTTTATGTACTTTTATTGAAAAGCTAGCATTCATTGCAAACACGTGCAAAAAGGCAACATATGTTGCATTAGTATAGAAGAGATTTTATAGTTCATGCTGAGAACAAAATAATATTTAGGGCGAAGGTAGAATTGAATTTGTTACACAGGAAACTACGTTTGCATTTGAAAAGCCACCCTGGTACTTACTAAAATAACAATCCAGCCACACAAAGCCCTAGAAAACACTGAGGGTGGTCATTTATAAAGTGTTTGTAAAAGATTACTACAGCAGCTGTCCAACAGACGACACACTACAGTTAATCTTCTTTTAAAAATAATGTAATGAATTTGTTTACTTTTCTGTGAGCCATGAAGCTTTCAAATAAAGTGACTGTGGCACATCATTAGAGCCAGTCTGATAAAGAAGCCTCTGCTTCTTCATACTTACAGTAAATGCATATCTTGGTTACTTCCCTTCCCCCACCTCACATTCCTCACATTATCAAAAAACTTTTTATCCTTCTCCCTGACCGCTCCATTAAAAACAAAACAAGTTGCTCCCTCTCTGTAGGTCCCAACCTGAATACCAAGCCCTAACAACGTTTGTTTCCAGCATGGATGGGCCCTGGAATGCCTGACACAAGAGCATTGTTCTCCTGCAGGGCTGTCCTGGCAGGAAAGAATTGGGATTTGCAGCTGGAGGTGCCTTCTGCTGGTCCAAAGCATCTTCCAGGGAAAACGGGATACATCAGCTTCTGCCAGGGCTCCCAGCACAGGCACTGACAGAGTCCACAGCAGCCCAAACAACTTCTCTAGCTCCAAATATACTTTTATCCATCCATGTCAACTTGCTTAACTTAGTAGGATGTGCCACAGTTTGTCCTAAACTGGTTTTTGATTTGAATGCCTTGGGTTTTATCTGCTTCAGAAAATACCTATGTTTGGTGGTACAGTCCCTACTGAAGCTGAGGGTGATTTTATCAGTGAGGGTAATTTTATTTATATTTAAAAAATCCCTTCCCTCAAACCTGTGGACTTGAAAGAAAACAAAACCAAACCTTCCACTGGAATTTAAATCCTAGCTGTATTTATTATTTATTAATCTATTGATGCACCTCTTCTTTCCTTAAATCAACAGCCTGAGTTTTTAATTTTGTTTTCCCCAAACCATTAGTGTGACTGTTTGTCTGGAAGATGTTTGTGACCCATTTGGATTAAGAGTTTTAGTGTTATGTCATTATTTAAACTAAAAAAAAAAACCCCACCAACAGGACTTCATTGTTTTGAGGTCATAAATATTCCAGGTTGTCTCCTTCTATATTTATAAAGTGACATCACAATTTGTAGCGCTACAATTTAGCCTTAACTACAACATTGTAAAGTCCCTATTTGAGCATGTGAGACACTTGTTTATTGACATGATAAATTTAAACCACATGCACACAGGAAAACAGCACTTGCTTATTTGCAAAGCCTGCTGAGAGCTACCACAGCACCTTGGGCTGTGGGCTCATTAGATCTCAACCTAAACAGGGTCAGGCCAGGTCAGCACACTTGAATGAATGACATTCAGGGGAGAGACAGCGTTTTCTCATGATTAAGGAGGTGGGAGTCTTCCACTTGTAAACTTTCCAGAAGGCCTGGAAAGGTGCTAAAAGGGATATTGCCACTGGATGCCATTTTTTGAGTGAAAGGCAGACCCCCAAATCTTTCACACTTCTGCTCATAAAAGCCCACGTCAACTTTGCACAGGCACGGAGATATGAGCAAGCAAATTCCCAAAGTTTGTATCACACCACGTCCGTCTGCAGGCAGCCTGTGGGTGCCAATACCCTGCCTTTCACCAATGCCAGTCTCCAACTTTCTGAACTGAGAGTAAATATAGCAATATGCTCTAAATAGTCCAAGACATCTGACTCAAAATAGCTGGAGGCTTCAGCTGTAGCACTTTTAGATACTGGTTAAAGCTTCCCATCATTCTTTGTAATCTGGAAATATTGCACAAATTTGAAACATTTTATAAATGATCCTTAGAAGTGAGCTTACAATCATAAATGGGGAGCCAGCTCACACAGGCAGGAAGTGTTTAATACTAAAAAGCAGCCCTGCTAAGCAATACAGAACAGAGAAATAGAACTAGAAGTGCAAGAGAAACCAGCAAAAAGATGTACAAGTTCTCTTTAAGATACATAATTACATTACCTTTTTTTTTTTTTTTTTTTTTGCAATGAGAGCAGCAGAACCAAACAGGCGTCATTTTTGAGGGCAGTTTTTGTATCTGCATAAAAGCTTGCCCTGCCAGGGGATTATGAACTCCAATAACTGAGCAAGCAGCACCAAGAAGGAAATAACAGCACTAATAACAGCAAACTAATTGTGTTGTGCTTCCATAGAGCATTAAGTGCATTTTTTAAATTTGCTTCCAGTCCTTGATGGCCTCACACTTAAGTAGAACTAAAGACAGCTCCTAAAGACTTCTGCTCCTCCAAAATTCCCACATTTGCACCCCTGGTTGTCCATTGCCAGCACAGAATAATGTTGACAGAGTCAGAAACTCTGAGGAATTGCCACAGTGAACAGAATACTCACAAATGAAATTTTGCCTTTGGGATTCGTCTCTGTAGGTCTGAACTTCCTGCCTGATCAGGGTTTTGGCTTTGCTGCCAAACCTATAGAAGGAACCACAAACCAAGCCACAACACCAAATTCACTATTTATTAGAACTAGTGAATCCAGCTCCTCCAAAACCAATATCCTTTTATCCTTTTCTCCCAGCACAGCACCAGAAATCTGTACAGCAGCAAAGCAAGCAAGCACAGAAATTCAAAGGAATAAATAACAGTGACAAATGTATAAATAGGGCATCAAATTTTTGAACTCTGGAGAGTTCAAAATGGAGGGGAAATGGATTATATGGCTTATTTCATAGTAGAAGCATTGTATCACCTTGTTTGTTCATGAAGCTCATGTTATGAAATAACTTTTAACACAGAGAAATGTCAAAAGGGGCTTTGTTCACTGACCAAGAGCTACTGACACATCACGTAATGGCTTCTGCTTAGGAGCAGCCTTTTGCCCCCCAAATGCCCCGTGGATGATATCAGCATGCAAAACGTCCTGCTTCTGCCCCACACAATACACATGAAGGCAGATAAATAACTGGCCATCTGCCAGCCTAAAAACAAAAAGCCGAATCCATAAACACAGATCAAAACCCACAGAGAAGAAAGGCTGGCAGACCCTTAGACAAAAGGTTCATAAAAGAAAGATTGACAAATTATTTACTATCCAAGGCTGACCAAAGAGTTGTGCTACAACTACAGCTAGAGAATTTGCATAAAACAGTTCAAGGCCATACTGAATTTAAATAATTGTTTTTTATCATTTACCATCCCATGAAGAGAAGAAGTATGACCAGAGAGGGCATATGAAATTTCATTATCATGCAGAAAGCAAATTTTAAATGAAAAGCAACACGTAGAAGTAATCTTTATGAACTGTCTGTAGCACTTACAGAGGAAGACCTTACACAAGTTATATAGTGCTCAAAGAAAAATACAAAATTTTTCATAAAAGCTAAGTGTTTGTAGAATCTCAACTCCTCACA